ACCAACGCCCTGTCTTATACAATGAATACAGCATTTTTTGCCTCCCAAAACCCTGCCCCCTTCACCAAAATGGCTGTGCAGAGCCTTTAGGAGGCTTATAGAATGCTCCTGGGGGCTGGTGAGGGCAGAAATGAGTGAAAAACGGGCCGTTTTTTGCTCAATTTTGCCCCCCCCCCCGAGAACTCTACAAGACTCCTAAAGGCTATGCATGCCCTTTTTTTTGAAAAAAAGAAAAACGGGCCTGTTTTTGTGAAAAACGGTCCATTTGGGGGAGGTCTTCAGAGTGCAAAAACATTTTTTAAAATTTGCCTCTTCAAAATCGTGGTGCGTCTTATACTCCGGTGTGTCTTATACTCTGAAAAATACGGTAGATTCTACGATAAGGTATGGAAGATTCCATTGAGTTTTGTTTAAAGAAAGACTATAAATGTGCACTAACTATTAAGACATACCTTGCTTGGATGCAAACTGTATTCACTCAACAAAACTGAAAATGTCTTGCAGGAAATAAACCTGCATATCTCTAGCAAGATAGCATTTTTGTATCAAAGACTATTTTGAAGAAAATAGACTATTTTAAAGAGATTGGGATCAACTGGAAGGGTGACAGTTTATTATGAATATGCCCTACTATTTCCCTATTGTTTTTGTTGGTTTTTTGTTATGGTCAGATAATCGGTACAAGATATTGTATTATATTGTTTATGCATCTGTTCAGTATATCTTAGCATTGTCACTTGGAACAAAAATATTACCTTGTGCTGCCTAACTTCACATTTCTTAATGGGCTTTGTTTTGACAGATGTATAGTTGGCATCAGCAGTATCTTTTCAGTACTGTCCCGAAAGATTTAGGCTAATGACACTCGGTGAGGAGACTGTGTCTCTGATTAATAATTTTGTATATCAATATTTGATCATGTGACTTTGATTTGTAAATACTGCAGTTTTGCTGATCATTTTTAAAGTAGATTGTTTATGTTGTTTTGTCTTACAGGTATACCAAACTGGGATATGCTGGTAATACAGAGCCACAGTTCATCATTCCTTCATGTAAGTGTTTTGGGATACATTGTTGTGGTTTTAAAAGATGTAACTGCATTGTCATTTAATTTAGCTCACAATTTTAAGAATATTCATACTTTTGAAATTCCATTTAAATGAGGTTTATACTTTTATTTTGAAACCACTTTAAATGTGTTTTCAGATTACAAGATACACTTAGAATTTATGAATTTATAAAGAGGCAAAGTTCATCATTGAACTTTTTGATCATTGTATTATTGGGCTAATGGAAAAACCTGAAAAAAATGTAATTAGTATTGAGTTCATTTAGGCCCTCTTTTGGTATTTTATCAAACTATGTCTTTTATCTAAAGTTATTCTAATTAGGATATAGAGTAAAATTAACTATCTGTTGGAAATTTGTATCCTTTCTGGTAGTTTGGCACTGGCTGAATGATTAGAGTCTTGCTGGAGCAGGACAATTCATTTCACTGACTAATAAATAGAAGCAGGTGCAATTAGAACAAAAGATGATTAAATGAGAAAGTTTTATCAATTTTCAGGAGAATTGCAATCTTGGCTCTTTTACTGATCCAGGATTTTATCATTCCCCCTTTCTTTTTTTTGGTGCTTGGCTATTCTGTATTAGTAACAGCATTATTCTACTGTGGAACCAGTTGGTATTAAATTGCTGGTTTGGTTTGCCTTGTTTGCATAATAGTTTATCTTGGGAAGCCTTTCCTGGTTTTTCCTTTCTAAATGCCATGTGAAATTTGGATGTATTCTGGGGAGAACTGCTAAGAAACATTAACAATAAATATTTTGGAGGTACTCTCTTTTCTTTCTCTCCAGGGAAGAACAGATTATATCCACATGTTACACTACTGTTCTAAAGAAGTGTGATATCAGTTGATGAAATTTATGTGTGTGTGTGGCGGGTGTTTTGGTCCTTGAAGACAAATTCAAGAATAATTATGCTGATTTCCATTGCTTATTTCATTCTCTCATTCAGAATATAACTAATCAACATTTTGCTCCTTCAGCATTTTCAGATTGTCAAGGAAATGATAACTTCTTTCCGTGCTCACATGGCATTCCTTATTCAATATTTCCTTAATTTTCCCTATAAATAAACTACTAATATATTACTATGAGCTTAAAGAATACCATTCTATGTAGTGTTTCATAACAGTTTAATTTAACCTACCCCTGGTTATTAAACATGACTAAATAAATTCCAAAAATAAAGGGAGGAACATATATATGAGAAACAAGAATAGTGTCTAAGGTTGGCAAACCTTTTTGGCATCGCACCGAGTATTGAAATGGAGCTTGTGGGGTGGGGAGGAGAGCAGCTCCCTGGCACGCACGCTCCCATGTGTCTGCTAGGAAGGTGAGCTTCTGGTTTCTGATGTGCCCATGCACTCTGGTCACCTGATCTTTCGGTTTTTGGTGCACATATGCGCATGAAAACCAGCTGGCTGGTGCACACTGGAACCTGGAAGAGCAACAGGCAACGGCTGGTGTGCCTGGAGATATGAGTTTATGTGCCACTTCCGGCTGCATGCCATTGGTTTGATATCATGGAGCTATGTTATACCATTGTTAGAAAGATAAATAATATTCTCCTTGATGGTGAGTTGATCTAGTTAAATGCTGAAAGAATGAGGCCACTGGTGAATAAGAGAGAAGAAACAGTTTGCTGAAATAAAAAGATATAGGGATTCAAAAGGTTAAGTTGAACATAGACCATCCCAAAATAAATCAGAAAACAAAAGTAAAAGAAAAACAAAGTGAGAATTGAACAGGATCAATTTACTACAAATTGCAGGATGTTGAAAATGAGAACTGGAGTGATTATGGGTAATGGCTTTGCCTGGTTGACCCCCTTAACAAGCTTTTATAGTGTCCTAGATTTTGAGGATTTTATTATTTGATTTTAAACATTTATATAGCCACCCATCTTACATCAAACTCTGAAATGATGTATATTTGGCCTAAAAATGTCATTATGGGATAAGGATTCTTGCAATATTTTGTTGCAGATCCTATAGTGTCTAGAGAGCCATTTATTGTGATGTTTTAATTTGGATTATTGAAGTGGGCAGAGGGTTTTGTTCCATGGCCCTTCTGTCTCCATGACTCATCGTAACATTTTACTAACCATATCATTTATCAAAAGTGTCTTAAATAATGTCTTGCATACATAGCACAGCAAGTGGCAAGCTCAAATCCACTTTTACTCATTTTATTAAATCTAAACATGTTTGAACTAATTTGATATCGGATTTCAAGGGTCTTTCCCTTTCCAATAACTGGAATGTTGGAAAAAAATACTGGAAAAAGGCAGTAACAAATCACTTCCATATTGCCTGTGAATCAGTGTAAATATCTTTGTGCAATCATCAGGTAAAGCTGCATTTGGGACAGATTTTACTTTTTTTTTTCATCATATAAATTTTTATTTTATATACATAAACACATCAACAGAAACAGACACATAACTTAAAACAACATAGGAACAATAAGT